GGACAGTGCAGGGCTGAGTTTGGGGTTTGTGTGCCAGCCGGGACGGCGCTGGCTGTGTCTGTGGGGACAGCGCTCGCCGACCTCTCCGGGCCTGGCACTGCCTCTCTGTAATTATGTCTTTAATCCCAGATCGATGAAGACAGTGGCTGGAATGAGGGAGGTGACGTGCCCTGGTGGCAGAGGAAAGCTGGGAGAGACCCTGTTCCGCTGGCACCTCTTACCCATCCTGGAGCTGTGCCCAGCGCTAAGGGCAGGAGTGACAACCGTGTAGGCAGGGCAGCCCCAGACACTCAAGAGTTGTTGCCCCTCTGCTTAACATTACCTGATCCTACTGGGAGACCCTCGGGTGGCCCCCCCTGAGCATCAGCTGTGGGCTCACCCAGCCTCAGATCACATCCAGCCCCAATGGGACAGAGACCTGCCCCCAAAAGCCCCTTGTCTTCCTGCTCTCCCTAAACCCTTCTGCTGGGACCTGGTGGCCCGAAGGGGAGGGGAGGGCCGGTGTGTGTCCCCACACCTCCTCCTGCCAGGGCTGGAGGGGTGTTTGTGCCAGGGGACAGGAGAGGTGGAGGGTGCGGGACCTGTCCCGTTCCTTCCGCTGCTGGAGTGTTTACTCCCTGTGGAAGGGACGGGAAGGAAACAGCCTCGCGCCTGCTCCGGCCCCTTATCTGGGGCCCGAACAGCCCTGCAAGTTTCATTGTTAGTGTCCACGTTTCCCAGCCCTGTTCCCAGGGAACGTGCCGAGGTGGGGAGCCGGGGCTGGGGAGGCCCTGCTGGCTGTGAGGGCCCTGCCTGGCAGCCACAGGGCTCTGCTGGGGATCCCGTCTCTCCTCTCCGTGCTCCCCCACAGAGCCAGACCCCGCTGGTCCACGCTTGCTGCTCGGTACTGAGGCCACTCACAAACAGGTGTGAGCCTGTTCACGAGAGCAGGGGCTCAGCAAAGTCTCTCCTGGAAGTCAAGGTGCTGCCTCTGTCCTCCTGCACCCCAAAAATCTGCCTCTTCTCTGTTGGGACTGTTGAGGGCAGGCTGGGAAGCACAGTGGCCTGGACAAGGCTACGCTGTGGAGAATCCCTCCTTCGTAGAGGGTTCTTCCTCTCTTATAAAGGGCTTGCTGAAATACTACTCTGAAATGAATCCCAACAAGCCAGTGGGGCTTCTGGCTGGGGTTTTGGATGCTGCAGTTGTTTAAGGTGTCTGGGTGGTAGGACCATCCCTTGTCCTGCTGGAGAAGACTGGGATGTGGCAAGGAGCTGCTCCCCTTCCTTGGGGAGGGGGCGTGGGGAGCTGCAGCAGTTGGTCTCTGTGGCAGGGACATCCTCAAGCCCCGGAATACAGAGGATCTGTGTCCCTGCTGGAAGTGGGGGGGAGCCCACTAGAGATGGGGAGTGTTTGGTGAGAGAGCTGGGATGTGTCAGCGCTGTTTTGGGAGGCACCAAGCCTCTCCTTTGGAGAATCCCGCAAATCCGCGGGGCAGGTGAGCTGAAGGGTCGTCCCTGCATTTCCATACAAGGCTCGGGAGCCGATCTGTTGAGAAAGCCTCGGGGTGTACCTGTTGCAAGGTGGGAGGGGTGGAAAGCTGCGTGCATGAGCCAGGAGTCATGTCTGGGAGCCTCCAAAAGCTTGCTGGGGCAGTGGGCTGCGTCCTTCCCAGGATGTGGACAGGCCGGAGAGCATCCCAGCCCACAGGGGGCTGGCGTTTCTTATCGAGAGATTTGTTACTGATGAAGGCAGATGAGAGGGTGGTGGCTACCAGATGGTGGAACGTGTGCTGCACGTGCCTTCCAAAGCGCTTGGAAAACATCTGCTCTGTGTCGTTGGGCTCCGTGGTGGTGGTGGTGGTGGTGGTGGTGGTGGTGGTGCCACCAGGGCTGCCGGTGTCCAAGGGAGGCTTTGGAGAGCAGGAGGAGTTGGGGAAGGCATTTCAGGAAGGGTTTGATCCGGATGCAGTTGGAGATAGGGTGGCAAATGGTTCAAAAGACCGAAAAAAGGCCTGTTCTGAGCTGCTGTGCACCAGCACGTGCTGCAGGCGGGCTCTGGAGGGGCGAAGGGCTGCGAGGGGCGGGCGGGAGAGGGGGATGCGGGCAGGAGAGGGGGATGCTGCCGGCGGGAGATCTCAGCAGGGTGGCACCGGGGAGTGGGCAGAGCCGATGCTGGAGACCGTGGGAAAGCAGCCTCGGTGCTGGCTGCCTGGCTGGAGCGAGTCCCCACACGCCTGCCATGACTGCAGCGGGTTTGGGAAAACCTCTCGGGCTTGCAGGGACTCGGCCGGGCTGCGCGGGGGGGAGGAAGCGGAGGAGGGCAGAGCCCCGGCCGCTCCTCTCCGCCTCTGCCCTCCCTCCCGCCGCCGGCAACAGTCGGAGGTGCCGGGGTCTCCATGGAGCTGTGGGAGCAGTGCAGCCTTTGCCACCCTGCCGGCCGTCCCAGACGCTGCTCCATCCCTCCGAGGGGAGGGGGTGGGAGAGAGGCGCCCCTTTCCCGGTTCTGTGCCCGCCCTGCCTTCTGTTTTGGGGTTCCCACGTGTGATTTTTGACCTGCTCCCGCTGTCCCTGCAGAGCTCTCTCCCCTCCTGCTTCCTCACTGTGGTGGCTGGGCTGTTTCTCCCATGACTCTCTGCGTCTAGATCTGGCTGTCCCCGTGCCTTTGCCAATCAAACCTGAACTTCCTCCTCTGACAGGTCTGTATGGAAGAATATTGCCTTTCTCTACCGAAATGTTGATTGTGGCTCGCTTGCTGTTCTCCTTTGGGAGGGGGGTGTTGGAGGGGTCCAGGCCAGTGCCTGTCCCTAGGTCTGTGGGCTCAGGACCCCCTGGGGGGCTGCAGCCTGGAGGGTGGTGAGTTTTGGCAGCAGTCACGGGGGCTCATGGGGTCCCCTTTAGGGGGATCCTGTCCCATTTCACCCCCTTTCCTGCATAAGGAAGGAGCTGTGGAGCCAGGGCTGTCTCCCCACCATTTATCACACCAGGGAGGAGGGAACAGATAAGTGACACAGCCCTCTCCCTCCACCCTTCCCTGAAGGAAGCAGTGGGATGTGGGTCACTTCTCATTCTCCGGGAGTGTCCCCTGCCCTGCCCCAGGGATATGCCCTCCCCTCCTGCACTGTGCTTGCAGCTTTTCCTTGCCCCTGAGCTTTTCCTGCGGCCTGAGGAGGACCCTTGTGGGAAGAGAGAACCCCTCAGCCCACAGCAGCTCTTCCAAACCCAGCTCAGCCCCAGCTGTTGGGTGTGCTGGAGGGACCTGCTGTCCCCACAGTGCCACTTTTCCAAGCTTAAATGCTGGGGCAGTTTGCATCTGAGTCCTGCCCGGGGCTGTGCTGCTCCAGGACCCTCTTGCCAGCTCTCTGGTGATGGGTGGGAGTGGGTGTTAATGCCATAAGATTTTTTTTTTTTTTTTTTTAACTTTTCCCTTGTTCTGAGAACCTGCCTTAACGAAATCAGTCTCTTCTGACCGCTCTTCTCTCTCCTCCTTTTCCTCCCCCAAATCACGTGCAGTGAAGAGAGGGGCTCCTGCCCCTTCTGGGTCACTTTTCCTCCCCTCACCTTGACTCCAAGTCGCCTCCGCCCGCGCGTCCCCGCGCCCCCCGCCCTGCCTGCCCCGGGCACCCGTCACCCATGGACGACTCGGAAGTGGAGTCGACCGCCAGCATCCTTGCCTCTGTCAAGGAGCAGGAGGCACAGTTCGAGAAGCTGACCCGGGCCCTGGAGGAGGAACGGCGCCATGTCTCAGCCCAGCTGGAGCGAGTCCGGGTCTCCCCACAGGACGCCGGCCCGGGCTTGGCCAACGGCACGCTCACCCGGCGGCACCAGGTAAAACACCCCCTCGCCAGAGCGGGGGGGCAGAGGCTCCCGGAGCCCCCGGCCACGCCAGTCCTGCCTCGGAGGGGGCAGCTTCCCGCCTTTGGCCCTCCCTGGACACAGGAGGTGGAGGAAGGCTCGGCCTGTCCTGTGACACTGGCGTACCGGAGTCGATCTGGGGGTGCGCCGACCTCCCTCGGCAGCCAGAGCCTTCGGGGGAGGAGGTGCCAGCCAGCCTGGAGGGTTTTGATGCCAGGCGGGCTCTGGTCTGGTTTTGTGAAGGTCAGAGGTTGGCTGTGCTCAGTTCCTGGGCATCTCTGCTCCCCATCCCGCTCGGCTGCTTGGAGGGTGGCCGAAACGCAGAGGCTGGGGTTTGCTGTGGGGGAACGTGTGTGTCTCCCTCTGTGTGATGGTGGGCAAGGCCCTGGAGTCTTGATCTGTCCCCACACAGCCAGACTAGGGCTGGGAGAAATCATCCCTACAGGGCTGGAAACGTGGTTTCATCTGCCTTGGCTTGAGGTGTCTCCTGTTCTGACTTTCTCAGGCTCAGTCTTGGAGAGGGGTGCTCAGAGGGCTGGTGTGTGGTGTTGTGCAGGAGGCTGGTGTCCTTCCAGCTGTGGTGCCAGGAGAGCCGTGCGGGGCAGGGCAGGGTGGGCAGAGGAAGGAGGAGTGCGAGTGTCAAACAGCAGCACCCTGTGATCGGCCGCCGAGCGCCCGCGTGGTTCCCTCTGGCCCCGGGGGGGGCCTCTGGGGTGTCACTGGTGGCTCCTGCATCAGAACACGTGGAAGGTGTCCAGGGCCCTGCTGGGGAGCAGGGAAGTGTCATGGCCATTCCGTCGGGAGCATGTGGGCATCGTGGGAGAGCTGGAGGGATGTCTGGAGGGGGCTGAGTGGCGTGTCCTCCTGTTCTTCCCCGGGGTTGGCATGGGGGTGGTTTGCTGCACGTGGCACAGACCCCCGAGGAGCGTGTTTTTTATCCCCCTGGGAGCTCACGGGGGTCTGTGAGGTGCAGGAGATGGGCTGCTTGGAGCCCAGAAGGGAAGCAGGGATGGATATGTGGGAGGTCAGTCTGGTAAGGGGCCTGCTGTGTTTCAGAACGGACGTTTCTTGGGCGATGCTGACCTGGAAAGGCAGAAGTATTCAGATCTGAAGCTGAACGGGCCACAGGTAAGGGGAGCTCGGCCCCCTGGGCTGTGGGCAGCCTGCTTGCTGGGGGAGGGTGCAGGACAGTGCTCCAGTGTCCCTGTTCCAGCTGGAAGAGGGTGGTTTGTGCTTCCAGTGTGGCCACCCTGGCTTGAAGGGGCTTTGGGCGTGGGGTTGCTGGTACCTCCTTCCAAGAGGATATCGGAGCTCCCTGTGAGGAGGGAGATCTCTCGTCCAGCGGACTCCAGGTTGGTGATGGGGCCTCCCTGCCTGTCGCTTTCTCCCCTCAGGACCACAGCCACCTCTTGTACAGCACAATCCCCAGGATGCAGGACCCGGGGCAGATCGTGGAGGAGACGTACACCATGGAGGAAGACCCGGAAGGGGCCATGTCAGTCGTGTCTGTGGAGACGTCAGATGATGGGACAACCCGGCGTACGGAGACCACGGTACAGGCCTGGGGAGAGCGTGGTGGGACAGGGCATGGCTGGGGACCATGATGGCTGGGGACCATGATGGCTGGGGCGCTGCAGCCGTGGTGTCTGCCAGCCTGCTGTGCCACGAGCTGAAACAGGGGGAGAAATGTGCCTGGAGTAAAGTGCTGGGCTGGCAGGGGAATCCGGGGACGCAGGTCTGCGGCGAGTTTCCTTATGGGAGCGTGTCCTGCGCGCGTGTCACCCCCTCCAGGTGAAGAAAGTGGTGAAGACCGTGACCACCCGGACAGTGCAGCAGGTGCCGGTGGGGCCCGACGGGCTGCCTTTGGAAACCTCCCCCGTCACCAGCAACTACGTCCAGACCATGGACAGGAACTTCCGCAAGAACGGCAATGGGGGCCCCGGCAGCTACCTGAGCCAGGCGGGCACGGCCACCCTCCCTCGCAACTACCACTACCCCGACGGCTACGGCCGCCCCTACGAGGACGGCTACCCGGGCAGCGACCACAGCTACGGCAGCCTGTCCCGCGTCACCCGCATCGACGAGCGCTACCGTCCCTCCATGGACACCTACCGCGCCCCCAGCCGCCAGGACATCTACGGCCCCCAGCCCCAGGTGCGCGTCGGGGGCAGCAACATGGACCTCAACCATTTCCACCCCGAGCCGTACGGCCTGGAGGACGACCAGCGCAGCGTGGGCTTCGAGGATGTGGACTACGGGCTCATGTCCGACTACGGCACGGCCAGGAGGGCGGGCACCCCCTCGGATGCCCGGCGGCGGCTCAGGTACGTGGAGCGGGAGGCTCTGGGCTGCTGGGGGGTGCTGTGGGGTGGCCCATCAAGCCTCACCCTCCTTGGAGGAGGGAGGATGGTGGACACCAACACCGTGAGCTGAGTCGCAGGCGGCTCCACGCGGGAGAAAACTTGCATCCGCTTCTAATTGTCTGCTTAATTGGTGGTTAAACCCGGGTGCTAATTGAGCCAGTCCTCCCGCAGCGAGGAGTTCCACTGGGCAGCTGGATGTAGCTCCGGGCCCTTCCCTCTGTGCCACCCGGCTGGTCTGTCTGTGCTCCAGCCCGGAGTATCCCACTGTATCATCACCCTGCTGTGCAGGTTTGCAGCAGTCCCGTGATCGTGCTCTGCCCGAGCCAAGGGCAGCCTCAGGGAGGGGAGCTGAGCCCAGGCTGGGGTGAGCAGGGCTCAGCCCCACGGTGCCCCAGGAGTGTTCCTGGTTCCTGCACAGCCCGACCCTGCTGCAGGGCAGGGCAGGAGAAGCTGCTCGACCTGTTTGGCAGCAGCAGCAGTTTCTCCCCTGTGTGTGTCTGTGGCGATGGCGGCTCCCCCAGCCTGGCTGCAGAGCACCTGCCCTGCCATGCTGTGCTGCCCTTGGGGGCTGGAGCAGGGTCCTGGTGGTCCTTCCTGCCCTGTCAGGCACCCAGGAATGTCCCCTGCCTGAGGCTGTGACTCCTCTCGCTGGTCTCCTGTGCCAGCTGTCTCCTACACAAGCACTGCACCCTTCTCTGCTCCTGGCCGGGCTGTCAGGCAGGGTTTGGGCAGGTGCTGGGGGATGGCTCCAGGGGTGGGGAGGTAGGAATGGAGCAAGGGGCTGAGCCAGGCTCCTGGAGATGGGGAGAGGACAATCTCGGCAAGCTGGGATGGATGTGCACCTCCTGAGTGCCCCAGGGTGGGCCCAGCCAGGCAAGTAAAGCTCAGTGCAGGCTGCCTGAGCTCCTGGGACATAAAGCAGAGGCAACCTGAGGGAGAGGAGACTCTGGCCATCCCCTGTGGAGATCTGCCCGATCTAGGCACTGTGAATCCACGCTGGCTCCTGGCTGCTGAAGGAGCAGCTTTGTCTGTCCTTGTGGCTGGTGCCAGCACAAGTGCTGCGGGGCTGTGCCGAACCAGTCGGGGCGGTTGCTCACCCAGATGGATTTCCCCGGCCACTTCACTTTGTGCAGCTTGTCCCGGCTGGAGGAGGGCAGGCGGGGCTGCTCCAGGCTTCTGCCTTCTCAGCCAGCCTGGGAGAGGCCAGCTCTGGCAGTTTTGGGCACATGGCCGTCACATCTCACTCCTCAGTGAGCACTTTGGGCAGGAGGGGTTACACAGGTGTGTTCAACAGAGGCTCTGGCCTGCGAACCTTCCCTGGGCTGTGCCCTGCCCAGCACCCAGCCCTCCCTGTGTGGCCTTTGAGACCACGAGCCCTCTTTGCTGGGCTGGAAGGTGTCTGTGCTCCTGCCCCTCCAAGTCCTGGAGGAGGGGAGTTACAGGAGCCAAGTGCAGGAGCTGCAGCCAGGTGGGAGACTTGGGGATCTGGGTCTGACAGAGCAAGGAGGCTCCACTTCCAAGGACGGCTCTGTTGGGGATGTCAGCTTGTCCTGCGGGGGCAGTGCAGGGTATGAAGGATGGGTTGGTGGGCCCCTGGGCCGGCTCTCCCTCCCCGGGCAGGCAGATAAAGATCACAGCAATCTGTGGAATCCAGGCACTGTTGAGCTTGGCTTGTCCCCCACCTTCTCAGTTACCATCCGCACTCTCTGCCCAGCTCGCTGGAATGGGAGCAGGGAGAGCAGCGTCCCCCCTGCCTCAGAGATATTTGTCTTGAGCAGGGGCCTGGCTGTTAATGACTTCCTTCGGGGAGGCAGCTGGCCAGGAACGCTGGAGCAGAAGGAGTGCCCTGAGCCCAGGGATGCAGCGTGTGCTGGCTGCCATCGGCCACAGAGAGCACCAGTCCCTGCCCTGGGGCTCTTCCCAGAGCTCCCTCTCTGCAATGGAGGAGGGAAGGGGGGTGCTTCCCCTCCCTGACAGCCCCATCTTGCCTGGAGGGGCACTGAGACAGTCACAGTGGGACAGGGGCTTCCATTCAGGGAGTTAGTCTTGGAAAGGGAGTGGGATCGGCTGCCAGCCCTGCTGGCAAGTGTCAGTGGCTTGCTGGCAGCACTGGCACGTGTCTGGTGGCTTTGGCAAGTTCTGTACCACAGGCTGTAGGTAGGGAAGTGGTGGTGGGAGCAGGACCTGCCACCCATCATGTCAGACCTTTCCCTGCCTGTGCCTGGTCCGGGAGCTCCGGAGGTTACTGAGCAGCCCCTGGGGCAGGTGTGAGGTGGAGGGTGGAAACCTCTCCTTGGGCCTTATCTGGCACAGCAGGGGCGAGAGTCATCCCCTCCCATCTCCTTCTCTTGGAAATCACTGGATTCCTCTGCCCGGGTGGGGGAAGGATTATATTGGCAGTGACTGCAGAAATAGGGGAGAATCAGGGATTTTGCGAGGTGTGTGTCATGGGGTGTTCAGTGTCACTTCAGCATGGGGGGCAGTAGTTCCACTTTGAGCTTCCATGTGCTTGCTGGGGCTCATTCCCAGCGCTGCCAGTCCAAGGAGGAGCTGCTCCTGGCCAGGGTGAGGGTGTGGGGCCAGGGCTCTTCCCTGGGCCCGAGCCAGGAGCCACGAGGTTGATCCCTGGAGCCCAGGTGTCTCTTGGTGCCTGTTCCTCAGGCAGTAGCACACTTTGCCTCCAGGGCTGGCTCCTGCCTGTGCCCCGGGGCTGGCTCCTGCCTCCACAGGCATCAGACCAGGATCCAGCTTCATCCCTTCTGGTGGGTTGGAGGAAAAGGTGATGAAAAGGGCTGGAAATTTCTTCCTCCTCTTTCAGTCCTGGATCAGACCTGAAGGTCTGGCTGTGAACAATTCCTTCTGCCCCTGACCGTGGAAGATAAGATGGAAAACTTGGTGGGAAGGAGAAGTGAATCCACCGCTCACCAGCTGATGTAAAAATGATTGATTTAGGGCCTACGTGTAAAAACGGAATCTGCAAAGTAGGTCGAAAAAAGCTGGGAAAATGTGAGAACTGGACGGCTTAGTTGATGAAACGAGAAGGAATTACGGTCTGAGGGGGCAGAACTTATTTTGAGGAACAGATCTAATTCCAGAGGATAGATATAGGAACAAATCCTTCGAGGCTGTCGCAGGGGGATAAGCAAGGAGCTTACGAGGAGCTCCAGCAAGGTCTGGGCGTGTGCTGACGCCCGCCGCCCTCTCTCCTAGGAGCTACGAAGACATGCTGGTGGACGACGTGGCCCCGGACCGGTACTACTGGGCCCCGCTGGCCCAGCACGAGCGGGGCAGCCTGGCCAGCCTGGACAGCCTGCGGAAGGGAGCTCCGGCCCCGGGGAACTGGCGCCAGCCGGAGCTGCCGGAGGTGATCGCCATGCTGAGCTTCCGGCTGGACGCCGTCAAGTCCAACGCGGCCGCCTACCTGCAGCACCTGTGCTACCGCAACGACAAGGTGAAGACGGAGGTGCGCCGGCTCAAGGGCATCCCCGTGCTGGTGGGGCTGCTGGACCACCCCAAGAAGGAGGTGCACTACGGCGCCTGCGGGGCCCTCAAGAACATCTCCTTCGGCAAGGACCAGGACAACAAGATCGCCATCAAGAACTGCGACGGCGTGCCCGCGCTGGTGCGCCTGCTGCGGAAGGCCCACGACATGGACCTCACGGAGGTCATCACAGGTGACGGCTCGGGGCGGGGCGGGGCAGGCGGGCTGGCGGGTGCCGCGGGGCGAGGTCTGCGGTCAGGGGTCCGAGCGCTCTCACCTTCGCGCCTGCGGCGTTTGCAGGGACGCTGTGGAACCTGTCCTCGCACGACTCCATCAAGATGGCCATCGTGGACCACGCGCTGCACGCTCTGACCGACGAGGTGGTCATTCCCCGCTCCGGCTGGGAGCGGGAGCCCAACGAGGACTCCAAACCCCGCCACATCGAGTGGGAGTCGGTGCTCACCAACACCGCTGGCTGCCTTAGGTACGGGAGAGCCCCGGCCTGGGTCTGGGCTGCAAGGCTCCTTCCTCGCTGTTCCTGGGACTGCCAGAGCTCTTGGAGCTCTGTGGAGACAGCTGCTCGTGATGCAGACCCTGATTTTGGAGCAGTTTCCCTCACTGAGGGGAACTACAAGAGCCTTTTTCTCTCTTGAGCTCTGTGGGGTGTGGGCTGCCCTTGCCTGCCCTCAGCTGCCCCTGCCATGACGTTTCTCTCCTGCCTGCCAGGAATGTGAGCTCGGAGCGGAGCGAGGCCCGTCGGAAGCTGCGGGAATGTGACGGGCTGGTGGATGCCCTGATCTACATCGTGCAGTCCGAGATCGGCCAGAAGGACTCGGACAGCAAGGTACCACAGTGGGGCTGGTGTCGGGGAAGGGAGAGCCTGTGTGGGGTGTACCTGGCACTGTTGGACCAGTCTGGCACTCACCCTGCAGTTTGGGATAGGAATGTTGGCCCCCCCCCAGCAGGGGTCTGCTTGTCACTCACCCCCAAACCGCTGTCCCCTGGCTCAGGGCTCTTTGATCTACCTGGATGAGATGCTGGCTTGAATTTTCCTTGGCCCTTTCGTGCTTATGGCAGAGAGGTTTTTGGCCCACGGGGTATGAGCTCGTGCCTGCAGCACTGGTCGTGCCAGCTTTGGGGTGGGGTGTGCTTCATCCGTCTGGGATGAAGCTGCACATCCTCCCGGGTGCTGAGCCCTCACTCGGAGACTTGGGGTGCTGCTCCCAGTCAGACGCTCTGGTTCTCTCCCCCAGCTGGTGGAGAACTGCGTGTGCCTGCTGAGAAACTTGTCCTACCAAGTGCACCGGGAGATCCCCCACGCCGAGCGCTACCAGGAGACTCCCCTGGTCCCTGCCAACAACGCCGGGCCCCACGCCGCCAGCTGCTTCGGTGCCAAGAAGGGCAAAGGTTTGTGGGCCAGCAGCAGCAGGGAGGGAAGGGATAGGGACAGCTCTGCTGCAGCACGTCTGGAGGGTGGCCTGGGGTCTCTGTGCTCCGACTTGTGCATCTCACGTGGAGCCTGAGCCGCAGCTTTCTCCGGGGGGCACAGTGGTCCCTGGCTCTGGGAGCTGCTGCTTGGGTCGCCCGAAGCGTTTGGCACAGGCTGTGGTGGGTGTCTCTGGTGGTGGGATGGTGATGGCTACGTCTCCACTAACTCCACGCCTTCCCTTTTCTCCCGTGTTGCCCCTTCCCCTTCCCTTCGCTTTCTTGCCAAATGATCTGCCCCATGACGCTGTCGGCACCTCTCTCCTCCTGCCTCCCCTCTCTCCTGTCCTTCTCTCCGCCTCACCAATAGACGAGTGGTTCTCCAGAGGTGAGTGCGCTCTTGGTTTTACTTTTTTCCGTGGTTCGATTGGGTGCTTTCTCCAGCTCTCTTTTGTGTGTGTCCCCCCCCCCATCCCCTGCTGGGCACATTCTGCCTGCAGTGTGGCTAATGCCCCCAGTGCCCCCTCCTGGGACGTGCTGGTCGCTTGGCTTCAGCCTCTGGGCTTGTTCCTGCAAGTGGCAAAGAGCTGGTGGGCCGAGGTGGGTGGGGAGAGGAGGAATCTCACGCTTCTCCACTTGCCCTTTTTGAAGGTAAAAAGCTCCCAGAAGACCCTGGTGCCGACACAGTGGATTTTCCCAAGAGAACAACTCCAGCCAAAGGTGTGTTCCTTGGATGATTGGCCTTGGGTGTTAGGGCAGCTTTTCCCCCAGCGAGCCTCTCCAACGGGCAGAGGTTGGTCTTGGAGCAGCAATGTTCCTGGCTGCCCAAAGGCTTGTTAAAACTATGAGCTCTGCCAGCAGTTGTGAGGATGCTCATGCATAATAGAGGAGGTCAGTGCTGGCTCAGGACAGGCTTCAGAGGGAACTATTGCCCCAGGGGCTGAGGGACAGCAGAGTGACACAGCCCTCTGTGATGGTCTCAGACCTCCAGCACAGTGGCCCTCTTGCCCACTCTTCTCTCCTGGGCGTGAAGAGCAGGCAGGATTTAAAGCCAAAATCTCTCTGCCTTTAGTGTTCTCCAGCATGAGCATGAGGAAGGGTCATTCCACAAAAAAACCTCTGGGGACAAGCATCCTGCTGCCAGTGAATCACAGGCCAAGCAGTGAGCACTAGCCCAGGGCTTGAGTTCAGCTCCTCCTGCCCCCAAAGCACCCTGTGGTTCCCAGGAGGACCCCGGTGCTCCTGGGGCTACAAAGAGTTGAGCCAGAGGAATCAGAGGAAACTTAGGGCAGACCTGAGCTTGTGAGCAGCTCAGATACATGGTGGTGGTGGCTCCTTAGGCTGACCTGAGCTGTGGGAAGAGTCAGCTCCCATCTCTGGTGGAAGCCTGAGGAAGCACCTGCTCTGACTTTGGGGCCATCCCTCAGGGCAGGGGAGGACAAGATGGAAAACCCGGCCTTGCACCTACGAGCTGCAGCCTTAGTGCTGCTTTACAAGTCACTTCTGGGCATGTTGCCATGGAAAAGAGTTGATGCTTGAAGGCCTGACCCCTGCCTGTGTGCTGGGGGCCTGGGCCCCTCGCTCCCTGAGGGTGAGGGGTGCTGGTGGGCACAGCTTGGGGTGTTTCCCAAGTTTCTCCCTCTGGAGCTGCAGTGGTGTGTTGGGTGCCGTGGGTGGCAGCTCTGGAGTCCCTGATCCTGGATCTGGTACCCTGGGGCAGCCCCTCTGTGCCAGGTATCCTGCCTCCAGGGAGCCTGGGTAGAAGCTTCCAGCCTCGTCTGCCCAGCAGTGCTCCCTGGGATGAGTCAGGTGCTGGTGGATCCCCGGGGTAAGCGCTTCCCACCCGTGTTCTCCTGGCAGGCTACGAGCTCCTCTTCCAGCCAGAAGTGGTGCGGATATACATCTCCCTCCTGAAGGAGAGCAAGACTCCGGCCATCCTGGAGGCTTCGGCGGGAGCCATCCAGAACCTGTGTGCTGGCAGCTGGACGGTGAGTGCCCCCGGAGCTGGCTGTGGCCAGGGAAGGGGCCCGGGGAGCTGGGAGTACCGCCCATGGTGGGGGCAGTGGGACCGTGGATGCCATTCCGGGCTGTTCCCTTCCTGCGTGGCCCCAGGAGCCACCATCCCACGGCACAGCCCAGGTGTGCACGGGGTCCCCTGTGCTGCGAAGGGCTCTGTGCTCACTGCCAGCTGCCTGTGCCCTCCTGGGGGGCAGGGAATGAAGATAATAACCTGCATTACCTCGATGTGTAGGCAGAGACCCTCTGGGAAGCCTGGCCTGGCCCGCGGGGGGTGGCCCTGGGGTGGGAGTGGGCTCGGTGGGTGCAGCAGGCCCCTTGTGCCCGTGGCGAGGGGGGGTTGGCAGGGCTGTCAGGGGTGTCCCCAGCCCCAGGTGACACGGGGGTGGTGTCCCTGCCCCACAGTACGGCCGGTACATCCGCTCGGCGCTGCGCCAGGAGAAGGGGCTCTCCGCCATCGCCGACCTGCTGAGCCACGACAGCGAGCGCGTGGTGAAGGCGGCGTCCGGCGCCCTGCGCAACCTGGCCGTGGACCTGCGGAACAAGGAGCTGATCGGTGAGCACAGAGCGCCCTGCACACCCACCCCGGGCCGGGCAGGAGCGTCCTGCCCTGCTGGGGGAGCGTGTGGGCACAGATCAGCCCAGCCTGCTGCTCCTCTCGAGAGCAAGTGGGCCGCCCGTCACCTTCCGCGCTGGTTTTCCCAGCAGTCCTGTTCTTTCTTGCTCACGCCCAGCTCTTCCCCCTTCCCAGGCAAGCACGCCATCCCCAACCTGGTGAAGAACCTGCCTGGAGGCCAGCAGACCCCTGCCAAAAACCTCTCTGAGGACACAGTGGTGTCCATCCTCAACACCATCAACGAAGTGATCGTGGACAACCTCGAGGCCGCCAAGAAGCTGCGGGAAACGCAGGGGATTGAGAAGCTGGTGCTGATCAACAAATCTGGGTAGGCGCTGCTCAAAGGGTGATGCCAAGGGGTGGAGAGGGGCTTCTCCAGCAGCCTCCCCTGGAGCTGTGACTGTTTCCAAACGTCTCTTCCTTCCCCTCTTCCTAGGAACCGCTCAGAGAGAGAAGTCCGAGCAGCCGCCCTCGTCTTGCAGACAGTCTGGGGCTACAAGGAGCTGCGGAAGCCCCTGGAGAAGGAAGGCTGGAAGAAGTCAGATTTCCAGGTGTGGGGATGCCCTGTGGTGGCTGGGGTAGTCGGTGGGGTCCTGCAGCAGGGAGAAGGGTGTTCCTGGAGCTCAGCAGGACCGGTTTGCAGCCTTGCTGGTGGGACTGGGCACCCGCAGAGGTGTCCCCTGTGCCTCAGGGGAATGTCCCTGCTCCTCAGGGCAGCAGGAAGGCTCTGCTAAGGACACTCAGAAGTGTCACACCCTGTGTCCCACACCAGTGTGTGGCTCCACAGGCAGGAATTTTGTCACCCTAAACACTGCCGTGGCAGTGCTGAAGAACAGGGTTCTTCTGGGCTCAGTTTCTTTCCCAAAAGCAGGGAGTGCCCATTTTCCTGGAGCGCTGGGCACTGCCCCAGTCCAGGCAGGGCCCCCTTGCCCTAATGGGGATGTGGTGGGGGCTCGAGCACCCTTTGGTTACTTTGAGCCCCTTGCTCAAGGGTTGTGGGAGAGCTCCTGGGTCCATCCTGGCGCTGGAGGGGTGGGATGTGCCAAGTGGGGAAGGAACATCTGGGCCCAGGGTGTGACTGGTCGCTGTCTGTTGCTATAGGTGAACCTGAGCAATGCCTCTCGGACCCAGGGAGGCAACTCATTTGATGACAGCACCTTGCCTCTCATCGACAGGAACCAAAAAACAGGTACGTGCCTGCCTTCAGCACCTGTGCCCACCATCATCCCCCCACACCCTGGGTACCCAGGGCAGCCCTGGCTTCCCTGGCAGCCACAGCTGCTCACACAGGGCCATCACCATCAGTTTGGGCCTTAGCTGGCTTTCCTGGCCATCAGGGCCCTCAGTTTAGGCTTTAGGTGGCTTCTTGGGGTAGTCACTGGTAGGGCCTGTGGCATCCTTGGGTCACAGAGCTGTGGCTGCAGCTGGGCCTGGGCTCCCCCAGCTGAGGCAGGTGGCAGTTCCTCCACAGCTCAGGGACTGTCCCTGACCTGCTGTCCTGTGCTTGTAGATAAGAAATCCTCCCGGGAGGAGATCCAGATGAGCAACATGGGACCAGGTAGGAGAGGGACTGGAATGGGGGGCCCCTACGCCCCCTCAGTGTGCAGGGAGGGGGGCAGAGCTCCCTGGAGGGGACACAGCTGACTGTCCCCTCTCCTGCTCCAGACAACTATTCCACACTCAACGAGAGGGACCACAGCAGGACGCTGGAGCGATCCGGCGACCTGGGAGAGATGGAGCCGGTGAAGGCAGCACCGCTGATGGTGAGCAGCTGTCCCTGACGAGGGAGGGGTGCAGGAGATGCCATATCACTGTCCTGGCTGGCAGGAGGAGGGGAGAGCTGGGCTCCCACAACTAACACCCCCCCCCCCCCCCCCCCGCCCCTACTAACCCCCCGTGTGTCTGCAGCAGGAGGAGGAGGGGCAGGAGCCGCAGCCTGAGGTAGAGGAGGCGGAGGAAGAAGCTGCTGTGCTTTCCCCCGTGTCGGTATGTCCCGCGGTGTCCTGCCCAATCTGACAGTGGTGACAGATCCTGCTGTGTGCTGTTAGGGGTGCTTGGCCAGCCAAATCCTGCTCCAGTTGATCTCTGCTGCCGTTGGTGCCGCCTCCGCCGCTCGCTCCCGCCCCAGCCCCGCTAACGCCTCTCCCTCTCTCTCCACAGCAGAAGATCTAGCTGGCCTGCCCACCTCCGCTCCGTTTGGGTTGATAATATATTATATATATAAATATATAACTCTTCATGGTGGAATGGACCGACTTTTACCTTGTCTTACTGTTGGAATTTTTGCTGGACTCCTTGTGCCAACCATCCAGCCAAACCATCCCTGGGCCGGCTCCCCGGGGCAGCCTGGGGCCGCTCGGCCTCCTCTGGGCCTCTGCACCTCCCCGTCCCGGGACACCACGACTGAGAGCTCCTCTTCCCATCCTCCTCCAACACCACCTCCTTCCTCCCGAGGGGTAGAACCTCTTCCTGCCTGACTCTGCCGGATCAGCCGGCGTGGATGCTGCACAAGGACTCGGATCTCTGCCTTGACCAGGAGCTGCCTTCTCTCCCACGCCTTCCCCCTGCTGCGAGGCGTCCGCAGGGACAGGGACTGGGACCTCACTCGCCGCCGCCTTGTTTTTGGTTTGGTTTCGTTGCCTATAGGATGTATTTTTTTTTTTTTTTTTTTTTTTTTGTGCGGGATCACTCTTCAGCCAGGGACAGCACAGACATCCCTCCTCCCTGGGGGCTGCAGCACCAGGGTCCGGGGGCTGGAGCCGTGGTGGGGAGGGCGAGAGGAAGGACGGCCAGCAGCCAGCAATAACTTCTCTTGCTTTGCTCTAGACGAGGCTTCGGGGGGTGTGGGAAGGGGGATGTGGCTCTGGATCCTGCGGAGGGGTCTGGATGGGGGAGCCCCGGGCTCCCACCCGGTGCCTGTGTGAGGAGGATCCTTATGTGGGGAAGAGGGGCAGTGCTGGGGCGAGGGGCAGGCCTCCCGGGGCGGGGGCGAGGGGTCCCTGCCCCTCGGAGGGAGGAGACGCGGTAGGATTTTGGGGAGAGGGCTTGGGGTGCGCCGTGCCGGGCGGCTGGAGCCGGGACCCCCACGGCACTGCCCCCCCCCGACTTTCTCTTGACACGTGCCTTTCTTTTGCCACTGTGAAATAGCTGTTTGAATCGTACTGTCCGGCTGCTTCCCTGGGGGAAGGGGAGTTTCCTGGGCTTCCAGCAGGGCTGAACTCCTCCCTTCCCCACCGGGAGCCTTCCCTGTCTGCAGTGGGGCTGGGAGCCTGTTTCTGGGGGGAACCCACCCCCCCTGCCCTCGCTGAGAGGGTTCAGGGCATTGCCATCCAGGCCTGGGGAGCCTGGGCTGCCACGGGAGCTGGGATGTGCTCCTCCTCCTCCTCTTGGCTGTGGTGCTGGGGCACATTGACGTGCTGTGATCTTCTGGGGGGCCCTGCTGCTCCCTGTGCAACTGGAAGTCTCTGTAGGAGGCTGCAAACTGGAGCAGGAGCCCTCCCAGCCCGGGGCTCCCCCTGAGAGGGGTGTGGGGAGGTGGCAGGGGCAGAGCTGGTGCCTTGTTCCTGCCCCAAATCTCCCCCCCCCAGCACCAGCTGGGCCCTCCCTGCTTCCAGCCCCACCTCAGCTCGGTTGGGTTTTGTTCTGGGGTCTAACTCTTCTCTTTTCCTTTAAATATGTAAAACACTAATTCCTTTTGTAATTTTTAATTCTAAATGAACCAAAAAGACAGTGTCCCCCTCCTCTCCTCCTCGGCCCCGCTGGGGAGGGGGGCTAAAGGAGGGGAGGAGGGGGAAGCACCAAGCCGTTCCTTGTCTGATTCCTGTGCACACTCTTGTAACGCTTTGAAAACAAAATGATTTTTTTATATAAATAAAGTTTTTAAAGTGTGTCGGTGTGCCTGCCCCCCCTGGCTGCACTCTCGGGTGTTTCTGGCTTTGCTGTTGGGACCAAGGGCCTTTTCCAGGACTGCCAAAGGTACTGCTGTGTGACAAACCCTTTCTTGTCTGAGGGTGACACTTCCCTGCCCTCCCACCCTGCCTTGCACCTTTGTCCCCAAAGCCACCAGTGAGCAGAGCAAAGGCAGGACCGGCTGTTTTATTGCTTCAGGTCCAGGGGGCAATGCCCAGGATGTGCGGCTTGGCAGGGACAATGCCAGGAATGTCTTGCGGGAATGTGGGCAAGGAATGGTGCCTGGAATGCCTGGCACCAGCAGGGCTGGGGACAGATGGATGGGTGGGACAATAGGAGGAGGCATGTTGGGCTCAGCAGGGACAATGGCAGGGTTGTTGATAGCTGGGGACCATGCTGGGGACGTGCAGGCTGGGGGGCAGAGGAGGAGTTTGTTTGGGGACATCCAGGCTGGGGGTCAGAGGAGGAGTTTGTTTGGGGACACCAGGCTGGGAGTCAGAGGAGGAGTTTGGAGACACCAGGCTGGGGGTCAGAGAAGGAGTTTGTTTGGGGACATCCAAGCTGGGGGTCAGAGGAAGAGCTTATTTGGGGGCATCCAGGCTGGGGGTCAGAGGAGGAGTTTGGGGGCAGCCAGGCTGAGGGTCGGAGGAAGAGCTTGTTTGGGGACATCCAGGCTGAGGGTCGGAGGAAGAGCTTGTTTGGGGACATCCAGGCTGAGGGTCGGAGGAAGAGCTTGTTTGGGGACATCCAGGTTGGGAGTCAGAGGAAGAGCTTGTTTGGGGACATGCAGGCTGGGGGTCAGAGGAGGAGTTTAGGGGCACCCAGGCTGGGAGTCAGAGGAGTTTGTTGAAGGGGCACCCAGGCTGGGGCTCAGAGGATTTTGTTTGGGGACACCATGCTGGGGGTCAGAGGAAGAGCTTATTTGGGGGCTCCCAGGCTGGGGGTCAGAGGAGGAGTTTGGAGACACCAGGCTGGGGGACAGAGGAGGAGTCTGGGGACACCCAGGCTAGGGGACAGAGGAAGAGCTTATTTGGGGACATGCAGGCTGGAGGTCAGAGGATTTTGTTAAAGGGGCACCCAGGCTGGGGGTCAGAGGAGGAGTTTGGGGGCACCCAGGCAGGGGTGTCAGAGGAAGAGCTTGTCGTGGCAGGCCTGGCAGTACATCTTGTCTCCCCACTCGCGGAAGGTGCCTTTCTGCAGCCGGCCCAGGCAGTAGGTGCAGACGAAGTGCTCGGGGTGGTACTTGCGCCCCGCAGCCGTGATGCAGCGCCCGGTGACGGGGCGGCCGCAGCCCTGGCAGATGGTGCCCTGCCGCCGGTGGAAGTGCAGCTCACAGTAGGGCCGACCCTCCAGCTCGAAGAAGGAGCCGCCGGAGAAGCCGCTCAGGCATTCCTGGGGGGGAAGGAGACCGGGAAAGGCTGGCACGGCCCCAGGAACGCCGGGCACGGCCCTGCCACCCCACTGCCCACACTCACCGTGCACACGAAGCACTCGGGGTGCCACACGCCCTGCAGGGCTGACAGGTAATTGTCCGTGACCGGGCGCTCGCAGCCCTGGCATTTGGGGGCGAACATGGCCAGGAAGTCCTGGCGGCAGTAGGGCTTCCCGTTCCGCTCCAGGAACCCTATGGAGAGGGGATCGGGATGGGCACCCACCGGGGGGGGGTGGGCAGCAGGGCATGGATGTGGGCTTGCCCAGGGTAGGAGACAAGGGAAAGACCGTGGAGGGATGTCAGATGGGGCGGTAGGTGCGAGGGCAGGGGCTACCTGGGGTGGGGGCAGGCCTGCCACACCCGTCCCCTGGGACATACCCTCGTCCCCGAAGACCTTCCCGCAGTGGGCACAGAAGAAATGCTCGGGGTGCCAGGTCTGGTCCAAGGCCGTGAGGACTTTCTGCAGGAACGGGTGAGGTGAGGTGGCTGGCGGTGGCAGGGGGTGTTGTGGGAGCACAGGGGGGGATTTACCTCACGGATGGTGCCGGCACAGTAGGCGCAGCGGGGGGAGAAGGCTTGGTGATAGTCCTCCTCGCAGAACGCCCGCCCGCCCTGCTCGAAGAAGGGCTGGCTGTCCAGCCCCTGCCCACAGCGGGCACAGGTGAAGTGCTCGGGGTGCCAGGTTTTGCCCAGGGCTGTGAGCACCTGCGAGGAGGCAGGAGGAGGCTGAGGGCGGCTCCGGGGGGATGCTGAGGGGAGGGGGGTGCCGGGATGGTGGCAGGGGGCTCACCTTGCCGGCGATGGGCTTGCGGCAGCCGGCGCAGACCCCTGCGGGGGCGGCCGTGATGCCCAGCTCCTGCAGGTCCCGGGTCAGGCTGCCCAGCATGTTGTCCAGGGAGGGCTCTGCGGGCACCCCGGCTCCCTGCCCGGACAGCTGCCGGGGAGCAGGACGGTGAGGGCTGGGTGAAGGTCAGGCCCCCAACCCCCTTTCCCCAGGGCCAAGCTCACCTTGCTCTGCATGTGGCCCAGGTCGGCCAGGAGCTCATCCAGCTGCTGGGCGGCTGCCGTGGGTGGGGGCTGTGGGACCGGGGTGGGGCTGCTGGACACGGCACAGGGGGGGTGGTGCTGAGGTTTCCCCTTCTTCCAGGGCTGAGACCCCTCCAGCCCCACCAACACAGCCCTTTCCCAGAGACCACTGCAGGGAACACGTAGCCCAGCCCTCACCCCAGCAGGGATGCAGGGTACAACCCGCCCCAGCTCGCAGAAGGACCCGTTTTTCAGGCGTTGAGGTGACCCCAGGTGGCACATCCCAGCAATGAGTGGGCACCCCCAGATGGCTTTGCCCTCCCGTGGCCATTTTTACCTGTACACTGTCTCCAAATCCTTTCCCAGAGACTGAGCCTGAGGCAGCAGCTGCACCTGGGAGGACAAACCCCTGCAGCCAAGCTCCCCTGGCAGCTCCATCACGAGCTGAGGGGGTCTGTGCTGAGGCCTCTGTACCTTTGGGGGTGCCGAGGCAGGAGGCTCAGAGACACGGGGGGCAGGTGGATCCTGGCAGGAGCTCGGTCCCTGCCACACAGGGTCCTTGGAGGCCTGGAGGGAGCTCTGCTCCAGTTCTGCCAGCAAAGCATCTGCACAGAGAGACCCCCCTCAGGCACCACAGCCACTGGCTGCCCACCCTGCTGCCACCCTCTTGGGAGGTCTTGTACCACTCCCAAAATCCCAGGAGCAAAAGGAGCATCCCAGCAGGTTCTACCAGGCAGGTGCCAGTGCCCTGAGGGCACCCAGATCCCCATCCCCGGTGCAGGATGTGCCTGCTGCTTCCTGCAGCCTTCCTGGAGAGTGGGCACCACTGGAAAAGGGTCCTGCCCCTGCACACCATCCCTGGCCTGCCAAGGAACATCCGCCAGCCCTTCACTTCATCCAGCACGAGCCCTGGAAGGGGAGGGCTCAGCCTCGGTGGGTTCCATGCACCCAGAGCGCTGCTTCCCCCAGGAAGGGCCGAGAGCTCGTTCTTCCCAATTCTGTCTCGCCACCTTGGCCATCCCTCACATCAGGAAACAGGGAATGCCCCTCCCTGCCCACCACGGCACAGCTGCTTCCCCGCCCCAGGCCAGGGCCGGCTCCCAGCACCCCCAGAAGTTGTGCTGCAGTCCCGGGATTGCAGCACTGCCACAGCCCATTTCCTGCTCTCAAGCTCGCTCCGTTTTCGGCCAAGCTCTTCCTCGATCACCCCATCAGCCCCCTGGGATGGGGGAGGCACTGCAGGGAGTGTGGCCCCATTGCTGCCCCCATTGCTGCCCCCTTAGAGCATCCCCACCTGGCCCTGGGGGAGAGGAAGGACAAGACTCCCCCCAGGCGCTGCAGGCACGGGCCCCACGCCAAGCCTGGCTGCAGAACCGCCTCTGGAGCAGCCCAGCTTACCCAAATCCTCCATCCTGCCCTGGCACGGGGGCCCGTGGGCCGGGGCAGCACCCTCAGGGAGGTGAGCTGGCACTCGGGGCCGTGCGGGCGCTCGGTTCCGGTGCCGCCTCCGCCCCCCGCGCCGGGTTGTGTCGCTCAGGGTTTCCCTTTGTGGGCTCTGCGCCTCACACCACGTGTGACGGGGCAGAGCTGGGGCACGGGGAGCCACAAACAGCCCCGGGCTGGGGCCGCAGGGGGAAGAAACTGGCCAGCGAGTTGTCCGAGGAGCTCTGGGTATGAACTGGGATGCTCTGGGAGCCGCAGCGTGGGTGTCCTGCAGAGCCAGGCCTTTTCCAGAAGCCACTGGCCACGTGTGCTGAGGGACGGCATCCCTGTGCCGGGTGGGAATGGATTTGTGACGGTGTGACAGAGCAGTGCCTTTTGGGGAACACTTCTGGAGCCTCATCCTGGATTTCCAGGTAAGAGCAAATGCCCTTTTGGCAGAGAAATCCCCTGGGAGTGGCCAGTGGATGTGGGAACAGCTCCAAGGGACTGGTTCATAACCTGGAGAGCTGGTCTGTCGTCCCCTCTCGGTGCCCCTGCCCCTCCAGCGTGGCTGGGGGGAGTTAATGCCAGAGGTGGGTGCAGGGGATGTGCACGTGGCTTGGTGTGTCCTTTGGGCTCTTGTTTGGGTGTTTGGAGGAGGCACCGCCCTGTAGGGGATGGATAACACCTCCAGCCCCTTGGTTACCAGCAAAGCTTCACCGTGCCCTGGCCTGGCTCCTCCTTAGTCCAGCTCCCCGGGTGTTCAGGGGCGCCAGAAGAACCTCGGGAGCAAAGGTTGTGTGTGGCCAAGCGCGGGGCCACGACCCCCGTGTGAGCGGGGAACCGCAGCATCCGGGGCCGCCGAGGCACCAGCGCTCCCACGGGCCGGGCTGACACCACCACGGCCCCGCTCCCAGGCTCTGCTGAGCCCGCCCGCACCCTCAGCTGGGCCGGGCTCGAGCCCCTCGAGCTGCCTCGGCGAGGTTCTCCGAATCACTGACGCGCTAATTACCACGTCGGTGACGGCGCTTTTTTTTGTTCCCTGCTCGCAGCAGGGCCATCCAGCCCGGCAGCACCTCGGGGAAAGCCCCGCGGGACATTCACCGGGACGCGTTTCAGGGCAGGAATCCTGAGAGCCACCCAGAGACAAGCCGGGGCACTGCTGGTATCGCTCAGCCTTGCTCAGTCAGGCGCTTCCCTCCCTGCACGCACCAGAACCTTCCTGCCTGCGGAACGTCTGGGGCTATTTTTAGCCTTCTCAGTGATTTACTCTCCCCGCTGGGGACGTGTGAGCCCGAGGGCACACGAGGAGCTGGCGCTGTAACTCCTCTTTATAATACTGCCCCTTACAAGCCCCTCGGAGGCAAAAGGCTGAGCAGAGCTCCCTGGCCAGAGCTCTGCCCCCCTGCAGCGGCTCAGCCAGAATTAAGCAACCCCATCCTTGCCCGCAGAGGGGAGATCAGTCGTGGCAATGACAAGAAGAGGTTGGTGTGGGGCTGACAGAAAGCAAGACCCGGCCCAGGTCAGCAGCTGCGGGGAAGGTTTGTGCTGAGCCTCTTGCCTGGGTCTGGCAGGGACAGGAGGAATCCCCGTGCAAGTACCCTGAGCTTTGCTTTAACTTTCACAGGTTCTCCCCTTTCCCTGGGCTCGGTGTCTTGCTCAGAGGAACAGGCTCTCCACGGTGAGGTGGTTTATTAGAGGAACCGAGGAAGGGAGAGCTGGACACACTTTTGTCTTCCAGGAACACGAAACAGAGCTCAGGGTTCGAAACCCGGGAGCAGAAGGAAGCGCGGGGCGGCCGGAGCCCTCTTGGCTGGTGGGAACCAGTTCAGCAAACAGGATTTACCAGCTAAACGCCTCGGGCTCTTCGAACCCCGGTGATTTTCGCTGCCTCCAGAGAGAGGATGAGGAGCACCTCGCTCTGCTGCCGCGATGGGGCGCCTTTCCCAGAGGGGCGCTGTTTCCTTCCCAGTTTCCTTCCCCTGGGATGAACAGTGGACGTGGAAACAGAGAAGCTTCCCGTGCCCAGCCAGGGCAGCTCCCCCTGCTCGGCTCTTCCAGCCGCAGCCCGAGGGGGTGTCGTTCCCTCTCCGTTCGCTCTGGCACAGCAGGAACGGGCTGGGATACCTGCCACGCTCCCGTCCAGGGCAGCGTGGGGGGGTCAGGGCAGCGCTGTGGCAGCAGGGATTTAGATCAGGGACTGGGATCCCTGGTGACCCGTGTAGAGGAATGAAGAGAAATCCAGCCAGTTTAGCCAATCTTTTCAAGGACTGGGGGGAAAGCTGTATTTCC